AACCAGCTGTACCGGGTGCGGCTGAAGAAGCACGTTCAGCGAGCTGCTAATAACCCAATCTACACCACTGAGCCCTCCGAGGTGGCCATCAAGCTGTACCTGGCGAAGCACATGGCCAACTTTGCCGAGGGCGAGTCGGAGCGGCTAAACGACATGATCATCCTGACGATGGTCAGCGCGCTTGGCCTCGGCCCGCCGGTGTACGGCATCTTTGCGGACGGCTTCGTGCAGGCATTCCGCCAGCATGAGCAGTTTCGGGCAAAGCACCAGGCGAGAGACAACTTGAAGCGGGACGTGCTGACGCTGCTGGCCAAGATCAACCACCTTCAGGTGCCCATTCAGAAGAAGGCGAACCTCATTTTGGCCGACCTTAGGAGGAAAATTCAATTCGGCTACGATCACTGTCAGGTGGAGAAACTGGCGGAGGAGCTGGAGCTGCCCACGCTGAAGAGGTTTCACGTGATGAAGGAGTACGAGGAGCTTCTGCTGCGCATTGAGGCACTGAACGCTCCAGTGGTCTTCTGTCACAATGACTTCAGAGGCTCAAATCTGCTCGTCACGAAGGACGACGACACTGAACAGATTTTGGCCATTGACTTTGAGTACAGCGGCTACGGCACTCGAGGCTTCGACCTGGCCTGTCTCATCACCGAGTGGGGCAGAAAGGACCTCTTTGACGCCTCCACGCCGCTGCCCACTGAGGCCACCGTTGAGGAGCTGACCAGGCTGTACATTGAGGAATGCGACAAAGTGGTGCCCGGGTACTCGCAACAGGAGGGAAACAGTTTGGCTCAGCACCTGCAGGAGGTCCGCCTCATGTTTCTCGCCAATTCAATGTACTTTCTTGCGGTGATGATTTCGCAGCAGGAGTCAATCATTCCAAGTATGCCCTTTGATGCGGAAAAACAAATGGTATTAGCTTTGTAACTGTTTTTTACATTTTTATACTAACAGTTTTTTTACTTTTCAGCAATTTGTTGAAGTTCTGTTTAAAGGATACATTGACTTTAAAAACCTGTTAATTTCAAATGGGTACATTAAAAAAATGTAGATCATGACACTTATAATAACTTGAAATTGAATGTAATTTACAACTCTATGTTGTTTTGTTTTCTAAATTTAAGTGTTTGTTATTGCTCTTAAATAAATTATCACNTTATACTAACAGTTTTTTTACTTTTCAGCAATTTGTTGAAGTTCTGTTTAAAGGATACATTGATTTTAAAAACCTGTTAATTTCAAATGGGTACATTAAAAAAATGTAGATCATGACACTTATAATAACTTGAAATTGAATGTAATTTACAACTCTATGTTGTTTTGTTTTCTAAATTTAAGTGTTTGTTATTGCTCTTAAATAAATTATCACTTGGCAATGACAATGATGATTTGACAAATTTTTTACGTCACAAAACAGTTTTTTGGTCAAGGTAGCATAAATGGTTTTGAAATATGTGCTCCAAACAATTTAAGCTGTTTGATCTATTTTTTAAATAAGCCATTTTAGACACAAAATTTAAATTGTGCAGAAATAATTAGCAAATCATGACAACGTAAGTATTGTGGATGAATTTAGAAACTGTTCTATAAATACGGCAATTCATTTTTATTTGAATAAGCAAAATTTTGTTTTTGTTATCAATTTAAAAATCATTTTTATCACAATGTTTTCAAAAACATTTATGGTAATTTTAGTAGAGTTTTACAAGATTTTTTTACAAAAATTTTAATTTGTTTGCTTTTGTAGTTAACTTGGCTTGTTACCATTGCTGCTTTGTTTAAGCTTTCCAGTCCGGTAATATTATTTTTACTGATTTTCAAATGTGAACAATAACCACTTAACTGTTAATAACATTGCCAACCTCACTTAGATTATCATTAAGATTGGCGGCATGAGCAGTCAGCGAAACCAACGTCCATACTACCCTCCTCCTCCTCCCCCGCCTCGCCCCTACTATCCAATGTACTTTCCAATTCCTAAACCGACAACGACTACGGCAGCACCAACGACCACTGCAGCACCGACCACCACAGCAGCCCCGACCACCACTGCTGAGCCAGTGGTTCAGAATGTTCACATATTCTTCCCCAAACCTAAACACCCAAAACATAAGCATCACTATCATGATTACTACTACTACAAAACAAGCACAACTACCGACAACTACAGATACTGGAACTGGAGAAAGTGAAAATTGCGTAATTAAAAGTTTTGTGTTTTTAAAAGTATAGAGATCTACATTAGAAATTTTAAAATTATTTATTTTATTTTTGTTTATTGTATTAAAATTAAGTTTCTCTTGATGAGAACAACTTGATTTTAAATAATCTGCTTTTTTCAAATAAAATTATAAAAATGATTAATCATGTTTAAGTTTGTTGCAAGTTTTTTGTGAAAGCACACAGGTGACGTTACAAAAAAAATAGCACTGTTTTGCGCTTTTTACGTTTTGTTGTGTAAACAGCTGTAAATGCTTGTTTTCAGTTTATTTTTACAAATTCTTGATTGTTAGAAAATAGCTAATTTTAAACTTTGTTTATGCCATTTTTAATTTTGGTAAGTATATTATTGTTGTTGTTGTAATTTTCTGTAATAATAACACAAATTTTTATATTTAACAGGTTAACAAGTATTTTAAATTTGAAAAAATTTTGTGGTTTTCTCTTAACTATGAAATAGCTTATTTGCTCAGTGTGCCATCAGATAATAGCTCTTCCTTAATCTTCATGTAAAGTTGATAAGTCAATTCAACAGTGAGCTATAGAAAACAAAACAATATTATATTCAATTTTGCACAAAATGTAAATTACTTACCATTTTCTTATGACCGTCAAACGGAACTGAAGGCACTAAAGATTCCATCATTTGCAACATAAAAGCAGTGTAAAAAAGCAAGTTTACTAGAAACATAATTTTAGTTTCTTTCACATGAGCTTGCAAGCTGTTTTTCTCATCTTTTGAATATCCTGGCACAATTTGATCCACCTCATGGATGTACAGTTTCAGAAAAATAGACAACACATCATCATCAGGCAGCGCCAGCCCAGTGCTAACGAACAACTGTTCACGGCCCCACTCTGTGAAAAAAGTAGCCAGGTCAAAACATCGAGGTCCGTAGCTGTTAGTTTCAAAGTCAACCAAAAGCACCTCGGATGAATCAGTGACCAGAATGTTTGAGCTGCGAAAGTCGTTGTGAGCAAAAACAATTGGACTGTTGAGTTTTTCAACAACGTTCATTAGATAGGTAAACTCAGTTTGAAGATCATGTGACTTCAACGTTTTTAAAGGCAATTCATTTATCAGATCAATTTCTGGACAGTTGATTTTTGCGCTCTCAATCATTTTGGAAATTTGTTTAATGTACAAGTTGGCTGTTTTGTTAATTGGCACTTGTAGATAGTGAAAACGAGCAATTTGTTTGGCCAGCTTTTGCAGCAATTTACCATCTTGTTGATGTTTAGCTCGAAACTGCTCATGCTGAAAATCAGAATGTTTAGTGTAAAATATATAAAGTTTGCGGAATTCCTTACTTGATAAAAACTTTGCACAAATCCATCACTTGCAATGCCGTAAATTGTTGGACTAATTCCATTTTGGCTAGTAATAGTTAGAATGTTTAGTTCATTGAAACGTCCCGAATCGGTTGAATCAAAGTTTAGGTGTTTTTCACTGTAGAACTTAATGGCAACGTCACTTGGCTCTTTGCAATAAACAAAGTTTGTTTCTTTAGCTACTGATTCATTAAGATGAACATGAACCATTAGGTTTGCCAATCCACCAGAAATGCGTTTAATGGTGATTTCTGAAGAAGATTTGGCATTGTTCCAACTCCCACCAACAAATGTTTGACAAAATTTCAGACATTTTTCTGCTATATCAGCCGGCATTTCACATCGAACAATGTCATCTTCAGAAAGTTTACTGTAGTCAGACAATAGTGTACTTGATAATTCAGTCATTGTATATTTTGTAACAAATAAAAACTAAATGTTTTAAAATAAATTAAAAATTTTTTTAAAAAAAACTTCAATGAACTAATTGCATTTTTGTATATCCCATTTATAATCATATGCTAACAGAGATAACTTTTTTCATTGGTGATAAGAAATGACGTTAATTGGTTTATCTTCATTTTTATTTTAATGCAATTTTGACACAGTTTTATGAATAGAAACACATTAATTATTAGCATTGAAGTAACTTTTCAAATAATGTTTTCAATATTTTGTAAAAAAATNTGTTAGCATTGAAGTAACTTTTCAAATAATGTTTTTAATATTTTGTAAAAAAATTTTGTTTAAGCAAAAGTAATACTATTTTTAAATTTACTAGAAAAATACGCAAGATTTTATTTAAAAACAATTTTTGTACAAATGTTTTTCATTTTTGCACANATAACTTGAGTTTGCCCCTAACTTAGAACCTAATATTTGGCACAAAAATTACTGAGTACCTACTTAACAAAATGTACTAAGTCTGGTCTGAGTACATTTACTTTGCACGTTTGGTGCTATTTTTAAACTTACTAGAAAAATACGCGAGATTTTATTTAAAAACAATTTTTGTACAAATGTTTTTTATTTTTGCACAAATTACATCAAACGTGGGTTTCACGTGTGAGCTGCATTTTCCAATGCCTCAATAGATGAAAATGATAGTTATCGTTTGTAATCTAATAATTAAGTTTTTACGCCCAATTAATTTATTTACTGGACAAACAAACAGTAACTACTATCATTGAGTGCATACGGTATTACTGTTGATAAATAGATATAAAATGATAATGACTGACAAAATATTTAAAACAGATAAAACTAGTTGATAAAACCGTGGTCATTGGGCATTGCCTATTCATTGAACCATTCTAAAATTTTAAATATTGAAATGTATTAAAAAATAGGCGTCACGTGAATTAGATTATAAAAGGTAAAATACAAAAACAGTTTTTTATGTTTTGATTTTTTTGTTTATATTTTAAACTTTTTTTATGTTGTGCACATTTTTTTAACAAGTTTTTCAAAAACAAATCAAAATAAAATAATTTTAATAAAAACTGATTTAAAATGTCGTTTTTGCAGCAATTTTTGTGGTTGTTTACTGTTTTATTAATTGTGCATTTTCAAACATCGTTAACTTCAAGCCAAGATCAACTTCAGTGTTGGCTAGACAGCAATGGTCGAAATTGTTCATGGTCAAATTCTGAAAAGTGGGCTTGGGAAAAACCCATTTTTAATGGTTTTCAAATAGACGGCCCACCCACTTTGCCAAACGAAAATATGCACGCTCTGGTGGCTAACCTTTCTGCAAATAACTCGGGCTACTCAATGACCTCACTCAAACTACCATGGGCTTCAGTATCATGTTTTTCTTTTGACTACTACATTCTTGTTGACTCAACTAAAAGTACTGGTTTAAAGTTATACTTGGAAACAGAAAAAAAACAGAAAATTGCTAGTGAAGAAATCTGGTCAATGAGTGGCGTTAGTGATGATTTCTGGAAAAGAGCACATGTCAACGTTAATCCACAATCAAGTTTTCAGGTAATTTATTTTGCTAAATTAAGCGGTATCACTAACTTGTTTTATTTTTTTGTAAACAGTTTAACTTTATTGCCTCTGGTACAAGCGGATATATTGGGCTGTCAAATTTTGCCTTTACCAACAATGTGCAGTGTCCATCATCTGCGATTCTTTGCGACTTTGAAACCAAGGGCACTTGTGGATGGGTAAATGCTGCTGGAAATACTGAAAACTTTAATTTTAAAGTAGTGAAAGGCAAAAACACAACTTTGAAAGTGAACAC